ATCTATCTATCTATCTATCTATCTATCTATCTATCTATCTATCCATCCATCCATCCATCCATCCATCCATCCATCTATCTATCTATCTTATAAATGTATAATGCACATTGCTGTGTATAGGCATACAATGTATTATGTTTGTAATGTATATGACTAATAATAATTGTTCGTCCTTCAGTGCATGACGGTAACCAAATGTAGAGCAGAATATATCTCTCCATGCGAATCAGAAGAAATAAGGGTAAAATGACTAGTGGCTTCTGCTACCACCAGTGAGTCTTTCTGGCAGAGAATAGAAGTGTTTGTCGCATTTGCGTATTTACGTATTAATAAAGCTTCTTTTCCTGTCAAGCATGTAAGCACCTTCAGTGCTTTTTTCTTGACTTCAGCATTAAAAAAACTACGCTATTAAGATCTGGTTTGTTCTAGTGTTTTAGAAATTGATAATCTTCTATCGTTGAAGTTGTTATAATCTCCACACTTATTTTTAATCCTCCCCTCCTCCTCCTCACCCGGCCCACCCAATCCCTCCCCCCACCAGATATTAACATCAAGCTGGACTACGGTAAGTATTTCGGTCTTGTTTTGTAAAACGAAAAGAAAGCGTAAAAGAACTACAAAGTTCTGTCTGATATTCTTGGCCGTTTTGAGTTACTCAGACCATGGGATCAGAAACCCAATGTTCTGTCACTCCTATCAGAATCGTAAGATTTTTCGGAATTGTTATCAAAATATTCAAAGAATTACAATGAAATAAATTGATATGTTGTGAAACTAAAAATATTCACGTCAACTTTCTCAAAAAACCAGGGTTGACCGTTTTGAGTTACTCAGACCATGGTATCAGAAACCAATGTTCTATCACTCCTATCAAGATCGTAAGATTTGTCGGAATTGTTATCGAAATATTCAAAGAATTACATTTTTAAAAATTGATATTTTGTGAAACTAAAAATTTTCACGTCAAATTTCTCAACAACGAGCTAGTGAGCAGATAGAACGTTTTAATTCTAAGACAGCGATTTATTTCCTCAGACCCTAACAACATTGTGGGAATTCCCGAGATGGTGGACCAGCAAACAGCTGTGGCCAAGTGTGCAGAGAGACATCGGCCTTTGCTTAGAATCGTCACCCAGTCCCAACTCGACAAAGCAAAACGTATTCTCGTCAACCAACTGAGGCAAGCCGTATCTTTGTTTTCGACTTTCATGATATTTTTGTTTAACAGTAGGCATACTCCGTGAAACTACTAGATCCATACTGATTTGATTTTCTCGCTAAGATAAAGGTATTAAAAAATCAAACACGTTTATTAAAGACTTTAACACTAAAAGAATAGATCTATGCCCAAAAGTAGACATGAAATCACATGCTTTACAAAAGAAAGACCGTATACTCTTTGTTTACCCATTATCACAATGTTCATAAAGTGCTTCTTCATCTTTTTCAACATCATTTACATTTGGATCGGGGCCTTTCATTTCAACCACCTCCTAATTGAACTGTTTCGGTAATTGGCGTTCAATGCTGTCCGCGGATGGGGAAGAGCTCCTCAGAAATAGGCATGTAGAGCGGAGAGACACATTTTATCTACCTGTAGAACTACTTGATTTATAACTAGCTTTTGAAAATCTTGCTT